CCCTCCCAGGAGTCTGCAGGGGCGGGACAGCCAGCACCACTGGGGCTGGAAGGCTGGAGCAGGCCCTGTCACCTGCTCTTGGCGCAGGCAGGTGTCTGGGCCCGAGGGGGCCCTCCTTGCCACCTTGGTGAGACGCTCTCTCTCCTTAGAGTGGAGGGTGCGTGTGAGAGGCTGTGTAAGGCCCTGACTTGCTTGTCCATCCCATGGGATTCATGGCTCTGGGACTGAAGCGTCGGACAGACCGAGGGCCCAGGGAGAGTGACACTGGGTTGGACAGCCCGACACGTTCAGGGGCATCTGCAGCCCCCACACAGACGGGCCCTTGGCGGTGTCTAGACCTCAGGCCCCCAAAGGGCCAGGGGAGCGGGGAGCCTAGGAGGTGGCCGAAAGGAACAGCGCTGCCCGCGGGCAGAGGAGCCCCCTCGGGCCTGTGCCCTCGCCCCGACGCAGGCCGCCCCTCTCTCCCACTCCCCGCTCCCGCGAGCACCCAGCGCCTCTTGTTCTCGGTGGGTGCGGGCCCTGATGCTTTCAGCAAGAGCGGGCCTGGGAGGGGCGGCCCCCTCGACACATCCAGCTGTCCCTGGGTACCTGCATCTGCTGGGCCCAGCACGGACCTCTGAGCCCCTTGCCCTGGGCCTGGGTCGGTGGCCTGGTCGGAGTCCAGGCCGCCTGGCCTATAGGTGGGCCTACGAGCTGAGGCAGACGCGCAAGCACAAGCAGGACCTTGGACAAAACGCGCTGTAGCGAGCACGGTGCAGAGAGAGGTGCAGCCAGAGGCAACAGTGCGCGAGGTGGCCGTCCACGTGCACGCACGTGTCCATGTGCGTGTGCGTGCACGCATGCGTGTGCCTGCAGTGCATACGTCTTGTGCATGTATCTGTATGTGCCTACATCTGTGTATCCATGTGTACATGTGTCAGGGTGCATCTGTGTGTTTTCTCTGTGTGTGCCCATGTGTGTCCATGAGTATCTGTGTGTGCACATGTGCACAAATGGTTATGAGTGTGCTTGTACCTCTGTATTCATGAGCACGTGTCCATGTGTGCATGCATGTATGATCATGAATATGTCTGTGTATTTTGTACATGTCTGTATGAGTGTCCACATGTGTCCGTGCATGTGTGCATCAGTGTGCATGTGTCTGTTATTTGCATGCTGTGTCCATGTGTGCATGCGTCTGATTGTGCGTGTCTGTGTCTGTGTGCATGCATGTGTGCATGAGTGTGCATGTGTCTGTGCATGCATATGTGTGCATGAGTGTGCGTGTCTGTGTGCATGCATGTGTGCATGAGTGTGCATGTGTCTGTGTGCATGCATGTGTGCATGAGTGTGCGTGTCTGTGTGCATGCATGTGTGCATGAGTGTGCATGTGTGTGTGCATGCATGTGTGCATGTGTGTATGTGTCTGTGTGCATGCACGTGTTTATGATTGTGTGTGTGTCTGTGTCTGTGTGCATGCATGTGTGCATGAGTGTGCATGTGTCTGTGTGCATATGGCCATGGGTACATGCATATGTGCACCTGTGTGCCCATGTCCACTGCGTGCATGTCTCTGTGTCCATGGGCATTAGTGTCCGTGTCCATGTGTGTGCGTGTGTGCTTCCGTGTGTACGTGTTCATATCTGTGCATGTGTCTCTGTGTGTGCATGTGTTGCATTTGCGTTACACACCCGTGTGCCTGTGTGGCTGTGACAGCAGCTAAAGCGGCAGTGAGCGTGGGCTCTGTTGCTGTGAGGGATCTGCGAGCGGCTCAGAGGCTGCCAGCGGCAGCGGGAGGCCGGGGCGAGGCGGGGCTGACCGTGCAGGGTGGTGTGCAGGGTGGCGGCACAGCCATGGCCCCAGCAGGCAAGAGCATTGCTCACTCAGGACCAGCATCTTTTGAACGGATCTTTTTATTTCTAATTTTTATAGAATGCGACATCTCACCCCATTGACACAGTCAGTTTGCCTGCACGCACACACACAGTGACAGGTCAGCCAGAGGCTCCGGGCACCGCCGTGAGGGGTGGCCTGGCGGTCACTGGCAGGTGCTGGCTGTGTCAGACAGGACCAGGGACACGTTGTACAGGGTGGGTTTACCGGTGGACTTGTCCACGGTCCTCTCGGTCACCGAGTGGGGCAGAGCCTCGTGGCCCACGACGCAGGTGTACGTCTCCCCGCTGAGCCAGTCTTCTGTGTTCACGGTCAGGATGCTGTACACGAAGTAGAGGTCTGGGGTCTGGGGCTCGGGCATCGGGGCGCTGGTCACGTACGTGCTGGGGGCCATGGGCTGCCCCCTCTGCATCCACCGCACGAACACGTCTGAAGGGGAGAAGCCCTTCACCAGGCAGGTGATCGAGGCCAGCTCCTGCAGGCCCAGCTGCTCCCGGGTTGGTGGCAGCACGTACACGGAGGGCACGTGCCTGCCGACGTCTGCGGGAGGAGAGACGGCCGTGAGTGCCGGCCGGGCAGGGGCACGGAGGGGGACTCCCGCCCTGCCCTCGGTGCGGCCAGACCCCGAGGCTGCGGGAGGGGCCCAGGGCAGAAGGCAGAGGGCAGGGCGTACCCTTGGGCTTGAAGACGGTCTGCTTCAGCGGCGAGGGCAGGTCCGTGTGGGTCACCGTGCACGTGAACTCTTCTCCTGACTGCCAGTCCTCCACACACATGGTCGTCTCGCCTCTGGCGCTGAAGGTGGCATTGGGGTGGCTCTCAGAGACGTTCATGCGGGTTTTCAGAACCTCGCCATTCTGGCGGGTCCAGGAGATGTCCAGGCTATCGTAGGTGGCCAGGTCTGTGACCAGACAAGACAGTGTTGCTGTCTTGGTCAGGAAGATGCTGGCGAAGGAGGGGGGCGTGGTGAAGATTCTGATGCCGGTGGACGCACCTGCAGGCAGAAGAACGTGTCTGAGCGATGGCCGGCCGTGAAAGCAGGCGCGGGCACAGACAGGCCGAGCTCCGGGCCCCGCTGGAGGGGCCCAGCGCGTCCCCGCCCCGCCGGCCCCCTCCCTCTTCTTGGCCCCCCCGGGCGACCATGGCCCGGGGAGCAGCAGGCTCATCCAGGCAGCGTGTGCAGGCCTGGATGGGGGCCTGTGCATCGGGGGCTGTACTCAAGGGCAGGAGGGAGCACTCACTGGAGCTGCACATGGAGGACACGTTCTTCTTGAAGATCTGGTCTCCGTGTTCCACTTGGCAGGTGAACACACTCTGGCTGAGCCACTGGATTTCGGTGATGACCAGGGAGCTGGTGACCCTGTAGGTCAAGGGCCCGGACCCTTTGGGCTCAGCCTCCACTTTGCCCATGGTGACCCCAGAATCCACCTGCTTCCCGTCCCGCAGCCAGGACACGGAGATCTGCCTGGGGCTGAAGCCGGAGGCCTCGCAGAGGAGCTTGGATGTGCGCTGGCTATTGCTGGAGAAGGCGTCACGGGGCGGGGTGAAGACGGTCACGTTGGGGGGCAGGTCTTCGGGTGCTGCGATGAGGGGACGTGCGTCAGCCTGGCCTGGCCCCACCCCGGCCCGGCCCCACCCCTGCCCGCCTGGCTGAGGGGAGGAGGCTCCATCTCACGTGTGAGGGGAATTTTCACTTTTCTGTCACCGCTGGTGTGCTTGACATTGCACGTCACGTAGTCATCTGAGCCCCTGAGGATGTCTGCCGAGGGCAGGAACAACTGGGAGGTGGCCAGGTAGCTGCCCTCCCTCAGGACAGGCGGGAAGCTCGTGATGGCGCTGGTGCCGACGGCGCTGCTGTTCTTGTACGTCCAGGAGAAGGAGACGGAGCTGGGCAGGAAGTCCCGGGCCAGGCAGCCCATGGCCACCAGGCTCTCGTCCAGCAGGAGGTTCTCACAGGAGACAAGGGGGAAGAGATTTGGGGCAGACGAGGCCCCTGAGGACCAAGAGGGGACAAAAGAGAAAGGGTGGTGAGAAGGTGTCTTCCTATGCCCTGCCGGCCAGGGGCCGAGGCCAGCTCTGTGGCTCTGTGGCTGCCCGGCCCTGCCCCCACGGCTGCCCCTCCAGGGCTGAGCTCACTGCAGCCTGCAAGGCCGGCCAGACCTGGCCAGTAGTGTGGCCCAGAGTCCTGGCTCCAGGTGGCGGGTGGGGAGGCCTCTGAGCCCCCATCTGGTGCAGGAGCCCAGCTCTGAGCGTGGGAAGAAGGGCGTGCCCTGCTTGGGGCCGGCGGGTCTGGCCCTCCGTCCCCCAGCACCGCTGGCCCTGTGTCGTGGGCTCTCGCGCCCTGGCTCCTGGCTCCAAACGGCGCAGGCCGAGGCCAGCTCTGCCTCCCCGCCGCACACTGGGGCCGCGGCGGCTCAGCCTCAGCACAGAGCCCCAGGCAGCCCAGCCCGCACGGCCCCGGCTCAGGCACCCTGGAGCCCGGCCCTGTGAGTCCGGGGTCCGAGGATGGCTGTGTGTGTGATGGGTGGGCCTGGTACTGACTCAGCTCGGCCCATCCTGAGCACAACTGGGTCACTGAGGTCAGCCTGTGTCTTCCAGGACAGTTCTGCAGAGCCAGCTCAGCCCAATGAGACCCACATGGCCTAGCCGGTTTGATCTGGGCCAAACCGATTATCAGAGTTGTCTTGGTCAAGTTGGCTCAGCCAGTCCATTTTTGCTGGACCCAGCTCGGCTCACTGTGTTTAACTGGGCTCGGCCACCCGACCGTCTCAGCTCTGGTTCACCCAGCCCAGCTCAGCTCAGCTCATCCCAATTTTCCTAGCTCAGTTCAGCCCAGCTCACCTAGCTCAGCTCAGCCCAGCCAGCCCAACTCATCTAGCTCAGCCCAGCTCACCCAGCTCACCCAGCTCACCCAGCTCAGCCCGGTTCAACCTAGCTCAGCCCAGCTCACCCAGCTCACCTAGCTCAGCCTGGTTCAGCCCAGCTCAGCCCAGCTCACCCAGCTCATACCAGCTCAGCCCGGTTCGGCCCAGCTCAGCTCACCTAGCTCAGCCCAGCTCACCCAGCTCACCTAGCTCAGCCTGGTTCAGCCCAGCTCAGCCCAGCTCACCCAGCTCATACCAGCTCAGCCCAGCTCAGCTCAGCCAGCTCACCTAGTTCAGCTCAGCCCAGCTCACCCAGCTCAGCTCAGCTCAGCCCAGCTCACCCAGCTCAGCCCAGTTCAGCCCAGCTCACCTAGCTCAACTCACCCATCTCAGCCCAGCTCAGCTCACCCAGCTCAGCCCGGTTCAGCCCACCCAGCTCAGCCCAGCTCACCCAGCTCAGCCCAGCTCAGCTCACCCAGCTCAGCCCGGTTCAGCCCAGCTCAGCCCAGAAAACCCAGCTCACACAGCTCAGCCCGGTTCAGTCCAGCTCAGCCCAGCAAACCTAGCTCATACCAGCTCAGCCTGGTTCAGCCCAGCTCACCCAGCTCACCCAGCTCATACCAGCTCAGCTCAGCTCAGCCCAGTCAGCTCACCTAGCTCAGCTCACCCAGCTCAGCTCAGCTCAGCTCAGCCAGCTCACCCAGCTCATACCAGCTCAGCACGGCTCAGCCCGCCCAGCTCAGCCCAACCCACCCAGCTCAGCTCAGCCTCGCTCCCCCAGC